CCTTTTTCACGGTTGACTGTTGGCAATGAGTATGTTATTATTGCTTCTGACTACTTGACTCGTTAGGTGGAAGTTAATGCTCTTGCTAGTGCCTCTGCAACTGCTGTTGAATACTTCCTCCTCAATCGAGTGGTGTTTCAGCATTCTTGTCTAGAGCGGATTCTTTTGGATAATAGTCCCGCATTTATGGCTGAGGCATTTCATGTTTTGACATCTCAGTTGGGGATATGCCACACTTTCACAAGTGCTTATCATCCATAATCAAACGGTCTGGTGGAACAGCTTGTTCGGATATTCAAAGGGATGATTGTGAAATATGTGAACTTTCAGCATTCGGATTGAGATAGTTATTTGCTGTCTTTTTGGTATGCATATGTCATAGGGATGTAAAGTTCTATTAGTGCTTCACCATATAAACTACTATATGGTCATGATCCAATTTTACCAATAGTGCTAGGTTTACCTTCGCGATTTCCATGAGTTGCCGATGCTAGGTCATGGGATCAGTATTTAACAAGCATTCTTCCATTTGTCTAAGCTGAGTCTATTGAACACTTAAGCCGCGTACAACTGGGACAACAATGGCATTACAATGTCCACCTCATCATCATCCATCTGTGGAGTACAAAGTGGATGATTTGGTGTTAGTTCGTTTTCCCCATCTTACAGTACGTGGTTTATCTAAGGGGCTCCTTGCACAGCGGAAAGGACCATATCGGGTGTTGCGGCAAGTTGGACCACAAGTTTATGAGGTTTGGCATGATGTCCAGCAGGCCAATCCTCCAGAGATTATGCATGTGCAGCGGTTGAAACGCTTCATACAAAGGGATCAGGAGCAGTTAATACCACCTACAGATCCATCAATGCCTCCTCCTGACTGTAAGCCACAAATTTTTCCTTTCCAATTTGCCAGCTTACCTCGTCTATCTGACCAACACTGCCTTGGCTTGTGCTAAGTTCCCTCACCAAGGTTCTCGCCTATTGTACCAGCTCCTACTTGGTCCTACTTGGTTTCAACTACTCACTGCACGAGCAATAGAGAGTTAGCCTTCCATCCATAGATTCTCAAATCTCTCCCAATCCCCCTTCCCGGGTTAGACTGGACTTAAGGTTCGGCTACACTCCCCATAGGCACAAGCAGCCAAGTACACCAAGCCTCCAGGTTCTTAACACCCCTTGGTACAACAAGACTTGATCATGGGACCCTCTAAATCCCAAGCCTTGGGTGCAACACTTGCTTCGGGACATCAGGGCGAAACACCGTGGCCTAACGGCCCGGTATGGGTACCTCTACCCCCCACTTCCATCTCAAAGGGAAGGCCCAAGCCCCTAGGAAGGGCAAGGACTAATGAGCCACAAGGTACTCAAATGGGGCACCACTCCACATGAGCCGGGAGCACCGCAGTCGGTTTCCCTTTCGAGAGTGGGAGCTACTCTTGAGCACTTCCTTGGGTGGCCCTTCCGGCACCACCCAAGCCTATGCTCACTCCCACCCAAGGCCCTTTGGCCCTAGTCTCAACCTCAAGTCAGTTTGGAAGCACCACTGAAGAGTTCCTTCAAGACTGGTTCTTGGACCTCACTATCCCTACTATACTTTTGGAACCCCTTGCAGCCCCCCTCCCCCTCCCCCCCTCCCTGGGAGACACAGCTTTGGGCTTTCACCCCTTGACCCATATTAGTATTTGGACTTAGTCTCAGATTCGATCTCAAACTCGATCTCGGACCCGACTTTGGACTCGATCTCGGACTCGATCTCGGACTCGACTTCAGACTCGACCTCGGACTCGGTCTCGGACCCAATTTGGATCTCGGACTTCGTCTCGAACTCGATCTCGAACTCGGTCTCCGATTCGGCCTCGGCTCAATCTTGGACTCTATCTCGCACTCGGTCTCAGAGTCGGTCTTGGACTCGATCTTCGACTCGGTCCCATCCGATGAACTCTTTGTCATTTCAGTCAAGCTTTCGGGGATCCTTTAGCCTACGACATCTCGGGGAGTTGGTTCCTTACATTGACATTCCTCTAGATCCCGGCCCGTCTACAAGAGAACCATGATGGTCTTCCATTATTCTAAGAGGAGGGGATGATGTGAGGGCCAAGTGTATGGCTACGATGCCGTATACTAATATTAATGTAGTGTAGTCGTTGGATTGGTTTCAATCCGGACCACTCGCTCCTATATATAAGCTAGGGTTTTTGGGCTAATTGATATGCACATTTTCTGTATTCCCTTTCCATATTCCAAGAACTCACAATAAGTGTTTAGGATATAGGAATAAATACTTACCTTTGCATTTTCCTTAAACCTATGTTAATTTATAGTCCTTGTCAAGAACTATATATAAAAAATAAAACTCACTCCATTTGTCCTTCAAATCTTCTTTATCCTATGTTCTAAAGCATTAGTTTAGTTCAGACTTGCTACATTTTTTTTTCATTCTACCATTTATATTTGGCCTCACTTCATTATTGTATCCATTCGGCCTCATTATATAAGGGGTGGATGTTTTGTTTGAACTTGTTATGCTCATCCCCACTCCACAATTTATGTTGTTTATCCTTATTCCACTATTGTATTTGCCCTTACTTCATTATTAGGGTTGGACCTTATTTATCCCCTCTACCCCCTCCTCAAATGAACTTTTTTTGGAAGTGTCACGGAAAAAAAAGCCAGAAAAAAGAGGAAGAAACATTGTGAAAAAAGAAAAAATTCAATAATTGTCAAAGTAGATAGAGGGGAAAAGAAGGTATATTTAAAGCTTGGAAAACAAAAGATTTGCTATGATAAAATATTTTGGCTAGCATGAAATAAACAAAAGATTCACACCATTTAACCTTCTCAACACATAATTTAACACTTGAGATAGAAAAATCTACACTCTCAAAGGAAAACATAAACCTTTAAGCAATAATGATAAAACAAAAGCTATCAATGGCACTCATTATTAAAGATATATGTTCAATTCAAAACTCTGGCCAAAATGACTTCAACCATTGGAATAAAGGAATAGTCAATATTAGAATTGATCAAGGTTCTACCAAAGAAACAAAAGTAAAATTCTTAACTTTATATACATGCTTAATATCTAGATTAGCATGAGAAAGATAGAAAACACTCAACTCAACACCAAATTAAGAATGGGAATCATAATAGTAAAAAATGATTAAAGTGTTAAGAGAAGAAAATATTGTAGATGAAAAAGGAACACTAGAAACATGAGAAGATGGCTTAGATGTCAGATTAAAAGATTAACACTTACCTTACAAAATTTCCAACTCATTTCTAAAGCTATCTCCATAATAATTAAGTTCCTCATCACAATCTAGAATCTATTTGAGCTTATAAACATTGTTTTCTCATAAATTTGATATTTAAACATTCTCCAAGAATCAAACTACATCATCCATAATTCACTAATTGATGTCATAATCATGCTCCACATCAATAGGAAATTGCAGAACATTGAGAATAAAACAAATTACATAATCACATCCCACAAAAATTGGAGATGAAGGATGGGTGGAGCACTAATATGATCACACAGCTCTAATAGTGTAGCAACAATAGCCTTAAATGGCGCATTCCTTGATCAATAACGATGTGTCATGATAAAAGAAGAGAATGCAATGATGATCAGAAGAAAGAGAAGATCTAAGCATAGCAATAGCTAGAATTTTAGAATTTATAAAAAGATAATATAAATCTAAATTTAAAAGAAAATAAAGAAATAAGAATAAAAAGCAAGATCTCAAACACTACTAAAAAGTTTTGCCCTCTTTTGGGATAAATTGCAATGCCTACTAATATGAGTGCTTGGGATATAGAAATAAGTATTAATTGGGGTTTAGACTTTTGCTTATATACAAGAATGGATGGATTAAATTCAGTCTTAAATAGATAGTGTATTATTTAGCCAGGGTAATACATACATACATATATATATATATATAAAAAAACCGAAATACTAGAAAGATTTACCTAATTTTTTTACAGGTTAATTTGTGAAGATATAAATTATATCCACAAAGATGCATTTAAAAATTAAATAATATTAAGAATTTTATAAGAGACATATGGTTAGAAAATACAAGGAAACAAGAATACATAAACATGTAAAAACAAACATCTAAATACTACTTGTTTCGACCCTTCAGCAAAAAGCCAACATGGATCCTCCTCCCATGGTGTTGCAGTGTTGTGTCTAGGCCAGATTTGCACTCAACGGCTGAAGCAAAAAGAATTGTGAGATTGAAAACTGTACTCGTGTCTACGCACTGTTCACTTTTACCTCATCATTAAACCACTGCTCTGTTCCCTAAACTTCGAGTTGTTTGCATTTTCCCTTCCCTATCGGCGTTGATCTCCTTCTCTTTCCAGCGACTTGTGATTCTTCTAAGCTCGGATGCTTTTGCTTACGAACCCATGGGCTTACACTTGTGAGAACCGAGCAGTAGCATCTGCTCGGTTGCGCAGCTCCAGGGGTAGCGGGCTCATCCAGGGCGTCAGGACGATGTTGGAGGAGATCCGTGAGGAGCTCGAGGGTCTACCGGGACGTTCTCCGCTTCTTTGGAATCGAGTATGACACTCCTTTCAAGGACGAGCCAGGTGCCTTGATCTTAAACTTCTCGACCTTGCAGTCTATAATCTTGAATGATCGAGTCGCTGACCCGGGTGAGATGGTCGTTCGCCCGCACCAGACTAGCGCCACTGCTGGATCTTTGGCAAGGAGCTCGACGCTGCCGGAGGAACAGATTTGAGTCTCCAAACAAGGTGTCGTGCTTATCATGGAGAGTAACTGTGTGATAGACGCACCGGAAGGTTTGGCTGGCTATGGAAGACAGTGGCTTCGAGCATGCATATGGTCAAGCTCATATATCCTAGTGTCATCCAGGTTGGAATCGAGCTCGAGTCGGGTTGCAAATGGCCGAGAGTGCTTCGCGACAATCGACCATTTTCTCTAGGCAACCGATCGCGAGCATGAGCGATGCGATCCTATTAACACACCCTCTCTTCTTAAATGCTACCTAGAGTACGACTTTGCAAGTTATCAGGGTTTTTCTTTCGCATGGAACAGGAGGAGAACAAGCGGCCATTGCTCGCGGCGTCCTTCGCTCCAGGTATGGAATGGCTCCACTCCGTCCTGTATTTCCAAGCGATCGTTTTCTTCGATCGAGCAGGCCACGAGCCGCGAGTTCCAGTGTGGACGGGAGAATTCCCATGCTCGGAATTGGAAGCCCAAGTCACCGGATCTGAGATACGAGCCGCCGCTGCGCACGATCCTTATCCGGCTTGGATCAATGCTTGTGTGGTCACTCCGGATAGCTCCATCCAAGGCGCTCACGATCCTGGCTATGGAGGCAAGTGGACTCTTACTCCATGAGATTTTTTGCTCACTTCTAGTTGCAGACGAACAAGCAGCTTCTTCTACCCACGAGAACTCGAGGTTGGATGTGGAATTAGCTTGTTGGTTTCTAACTCTTCCCCTCGATCTCCAGTGTCCAGAGCTTGCAAGAGGATGAGATTCGCGACTTACTCATCGATCACGTCCACCACCATTGCTGCTGGGGGAAGCGGCCAGCGTGGTCGTGGAAGATCAGCAAGGTGGAAGACTGTAATGCCTACGTTGGAACTCTGGAAACTTTCATCGAGGAGAGAGACCTAGTGGAGGAGTGTGTTCCATACGATGGTCGAATCATAGACGAGGGTGGCCGAGCTCCCGGACCTTGGGAACTCGACACTCGTTCACACTTTCCACCACTCTTCGTGAGCTCCAAAGAGGCTTTGATCAAGGTGCCACACTCGGAAAGTGTGGAGCAATGCACAGGTTCTCTTGGAGCTCAAAACTTTTCTTTTTTTTCTTTTCGAGAGATTTTTGCTGAGTTTCTTTGGCCAGGTTGCTTGGGACAGGGAGATATCGCTTGTCATGTTTGCACCATATACGATGATTCCGGAAATCTCCAGCAAAGGAAAAAGTTTACGTGCTCGAGATGCAATGGCCGGGGCCTCATTGCTCACTTGGATGGCTCCGACAGCAGGTTTTTCTAGATTGATCTTCGAGTCTTTCACTTATCCTGCTAGAGCTCTCTTTTCAGCTGCAAGGAATGCAAGGGAAGCGGCAAAGTTTACTGCCCGAGATGCCACTCTCGCGGTTTGCTGGCATGCGAGCACTGCAAGTCAGCCGGATCATTCGTCTCATCCATGAGCGTTCGCGTTAAATGGTTGGTGCTTCTCCCAAGCTTTTACAAGCTGCCAGTGCCGATTGATCTTAAGAGTCCATCTTTCCTTTTACTTCCAGGAGGACACTGCTGAGCAGGAAAGTGATCGCGTCCAGCCACGCCGCCTCCGTCCCGGACGACGTTTTCCAGCGAGCCAAAGGCGTGGAGCTCTACTGCCACGAATCACAGCAATGCCAGGCAGCAGATTTCCAGGACTCGGCACTGCTCAGCCGCTTCTCGCAGGAGATCATCCGGGAGCGAGCTACAGTCCCCCCGGCGGCGCGAGTCGTGAGCGAGAGGCACCGCATCACGGTGGTTCCCGTGACCAGAGTGTTGATGAGCGACGGCAAGAGAAGGTGGTTTAAGTTCTATATCGTCGGGCTCAAGAAGGAGGTCTATCTCAAGAACTATCCACAAAAGTGCTGCTGCCAGTGTTGCCATAGCTGCACAATCATGTAAGTAATTTGTCTCTTGATAAACTCATTGTCGTTATGCTATAGAACTTGGCAATGACCGATGCCATCCTAAGAAAAGAGTATGTTATCAGGGATTTTCTTCTTTTCCTTGTTCTTTCGCATGGAACAAGAAAAGAGATTTTTCATAAGCTTCCAGTTCAGAGCAGGGAGAATTTTCCCGTCTGATAGTGGGCTCGATCGAAGGCATGGATTTTCGAACTCACGAGATCTTTGCTCACTCGTGGCTGGCTGTAGTCACAGACAAACAACCAGCTTCTTTCACTCGAGCACTCGTTGGATGTGAAATTAGCTCGTTGATTTCTAACTCTTACCCATGTTGGTCCATCTCCGAGGAAGAGATGGATCGGCGACTCGAGGTTCAGCTTGTTTATGCCATTAACATTTGCGGCAGTGAGTATGACAGAGAACTGCTGAATCTTTGGCACGTAGCACATCTCCCTTATTGGCATCCAGGGATCCAGAAGAACAGCTTTAGCTCATCCATGAACGCCCAGTGTGATTTGATAGTAAGAAGGAGCCACAGAGTTTTGAGGAAGGGACATGCGTATGAATCATATCTGAAACAGGTAAGTCTTCTAGTAGGAGTGCACACCAAGCAAAGCTTTCTCTTATTCCATTTGGTTCTCTAGTCCTAGCTGAGCAGAGAGCAAATCGACACATACCTCTGGTTGCTTTCATTATAGTAGCTCGATGGCAAGGCGAGCCGCGAGATTCACATCTTTACCAGAGTATCCTGTCCAAAGAAGAAGGGACAAGGAGATGAAGAAGAAAAACAAAGTCGCTCAGACTCTGGCCAGAGAGAATACCTCAAGTCTTCCTGGCAGAGGACATCGTTCCCCGTAGCGTTTTCATCCTGCCTGCAAAGCCGCCCCCATCCTTGAGAATCCCGGACAGCAGCTTCCGGCATTGAATCCAAAAAGATCCAGCGAAAGAAAATGTTTGACGAATACCTGACGCTCTGCCAGCAGCTGGTCCTGCAAATCCTCCACCGTTATACAGATCCTCCCGGAACTGCGCCAGCGTGAAGAAGTTACTCCACAGACCACAAACTGTCCTGTGCGACTCGCTCGGACCGCTCGCCCCAGCATATCGAGCACGCAAGCGCTGTACTCCTGTATCAAGGTCAAGCCGTGCTCGTTAGTCAGCTCAAACTTACAAGATAAGAGCTGCGTTACCACAAGAAAAGAGAAGAACCGCTACTCGCTTGAGATGTGTATCCTTGTGTCTCGCTCATATCCACTTGGAGACACCACCCGTGGACATTGTTGAGGGAATTGAGCTGGGGCAAAACTTCTGGCAGCATATGACACGAGCAGGACATCGTAAGAGAAGCAGGCCGATCGACGTTCGTGTCAGAGAAACCAGAGGCATGAGGAGACTACATGATCAAACCATCAGAGCAAGTTCCCCCAAACGTCTCCAAATCAAATCACCTGAAATGCGCAGCGGCCAGAGTTTGTGATCCGGTAACATGTCCTCCTTGACCAGGGGCAATGTGCAATTGCCAACACCTGGAATCTTCATGATCAAAGAAAATGGAAACGCGGTAGCCATCGATTTACCGTGACAACGAGCCTGGGTGAATCACTGGAGGGACAAGTAGAGGCGGTGCTGCTGCTGGTAATTCCCAAAGCCTCCCGGACTGCCAGCACGATTACTGTTTTGCAGCCGCCCAACGTTGCATGGAATATATTTCCAAAATATTAAAAACATAGAGTTAAAAGGGAAACGGTATAAAGTAAATCCTATACCCTTATAAAGGTATATATATATATATATATACCCTTATATATCTTTACTCTTATACCTTTATATTTATATAAAGGTATAAGGGTTAATAAGTGGAAACGGTATAACTTAGACTTGCCATTTGCGAAATTTGATCATGAGCTTGCGACTCTAGCGGATGATGAGCAGGGCTACCGAGTAGTATTTCGGGTGCGTAGGTTTATGCAAACAGCAGTCCTCTACTCTTGGAAGTCAGAGTGGCTCGTCACAGAGCAATGTAAGGAGGATATCAAAATGGAGGATTTTGCGGATTTTGTCACATCCTCTTCTATTGTTTGTGGCAACATCATCCATTCCATTGGGTCCAAAAACAAAGTGGCACTAGTTCTGATAAGCTGGGCGCCCGAAAGCATTTCTACAAAATTTCCCTTTGTAAGGTCGGCAAGCATCTACAACAATATTATCTACTGCATTTTTCAAGTGAAGCTAGCAATGCTAGTAACTTACAACCTCAGCAAACATGGTTCGTGGCAGGTGGTACCACTTCCAGAACCATTGCCTGCGTGCATTGGAATCTTAAATATTATGAAGTTCAGTTTAAACTTACCATTTGGGTTAGACTTGTGTAGTTCTTATTGATTTTCGTTTTCACTTAGTTGGTTTTGCTCTTGATCCTCCACACCTTGTCCTGTGAGATATATTTTAAGGTGAAAGGTTGTTATGAAAATAAAATCATAAACATTTTCTAAATAATTTTCTGTCCAACAGCTTTTTGGATTACTATAAATCTCATCCAGGCCGAGCATTCAGCAGAGAATAAGCCAGCCGAAGGAATAATTTTGCAAAACCTTTACTCTTAGAACGTTAGAAACACAATGTTAGGACAAAGGAAAATAATGTGAACGATAACATGGATCATGGTCAATCTCCCTTGCCAGAGGCTTGCAAGCTTTCGCGAGCACTTCACCAGCTTCCAATGCTCTTCAGCAAGAAAAAATGTCTTTTGAGTGGACAAGTTGTCAAAGTTTTGGTACAGTCCTACCATTTAGATCTCTGATAGATGGCAATCAACAAAGAGTGGCTCAATCACGTCAAAGGCTAAAGAGGGCTGGGGAAGCAGGCAGCCTTGCTTTACCCCAATGATGTTGGTGATCGAAGGATAACGCTATATAATGCCTAGATTATATCTGGGGTGTCCCATGTGCCTTCTACCAATCCCATAAGCTTTGTCTTGGGACTGTATCCGAAGCTTTCTTGCAGTTTACGAAGCAATGTATCTGCTTGTGTATGGTGCATAGCATGATTAAGTGATCTGCGCAATTGTATTATCGCCGTCACACATTTCCCTTTAAAGGCATATCAATTGACAATTAAGATTTCTTTGTTTAGAAGAGCATCATTGGAACAATCAAAATAAAGATCTCTTGCCCTTCTTTTCAGGAGCCATGCTCGCAATTCAAGAGAGAAGACAAAAAGCGCAAAGGCAAGAATCAAGAAATGAACTCAACATGATGAAGCTTAACTTTATAGAGTGACTTGTGATCTTATCATATGAGAGTTCTTGCTTTCCGGGTCGGGCTGTGTCCAGGAGTTCTCGTGGATGCCCTGATGGATCTGTTGGAGGTGATCAATCTCTCGTGGGAGATGTCTGAAAGCCAGGTCAGTTTCGAGGAGGCCGACTGCGACTACTAATACTACTACAGTTGTTGACAAAATGGTTCTCAAGTGTGTTACGAAAAGGCTCTGCAAAGATTGAAAATGGGTCTCCCTAGCGTTCGAGCGCGAATCGCCCACGTCCGCCCGCACAACAAATCTCGTGTCCAACTTCTGAGCAAGACTGCCATCTTTCAGGTGTAGATTGATCTCTTGAGCACTTTATTGGAGCGCGAAAACACATCACCTTTGTATTCCTGGAACAGTATCACAGGAACGTCGCCTGGGTCTCACGGGACGTCGTCTTGGTCTGTTGCTGTTTGAAACTGCGAATTTCTCCTGGGTTCTCAAATTGTCCTTGCTTGGATCTATAGCTGCTACTGCGTCACCATGGATCTGGGATCGAGCATTGTTGTGCAACACAACCCAAAAGTTGGTGGACGGCGTTGAAAAGCCTGGGCAAATGGCAACGGGGTGAAGAAGTAAACAAGAAAGAAGGGAATTATACTTATGGGCTGGCTATGGAAGACAGTGGCCGACTTTCGATCTACTAAGCACAGCTTGAATTAGTTGTTTGTTTGGAATGTATGGAACATTTATAATGCGAGGTGCGCGGGCTTTAACTTGATGAAGTTGGTTAACAATGTAAAGGAAGAGTAAAATAAAACGAACTCTCTTTCACCCAAGAAACTTGGCAAGCTCCATTCTTACCTCATTCGCAGCGTCCGCCATCACCTTGCCATTGTTTATAGTCGTAGTCGTCCACTGGATATTGTCCTCGCTCTTCAAGAATCGCCCTCCTCTCGGGTACTGCACTTGCTGCCACCCCATCGCGCTCCATTTGTCACACTGCTCCTCGATCCTCCTCCTCTTGAACCGAAAGTGCGCCGCGATCAAATCCTTGAACACCTCGTCCGGACTGCGCAGCGCCGGCGCCATGGAATGCATCATCGTGTTGAAGCACTGCTCGTAGTTGTAATTCTCGGACGCGTAGTGGCGGCTACCATCCTTGGGCCTGCTCTTCTCCCACCCGGGTTCGTTGTAGTAAGGCTCGCTCACGAACACCAGGCTTTGGAGCGACACGAGCAGCTGGAGCAGCGTCGAGGATCCCGGCTGCCACGATGGTCCGGTCCAAGTCCCCAGCAAGCTCAAGCACACCTTGCCACAGTGGTACAAGTTTGGATTGAATCGCACCTTGCCGCCGGCGGTGGTGAGGAACTGGACCGACGGAGGGGAGCTCGGGTAGCCATCGCCCACGAAGATGTCGAAGAGGAAGATCCCATTCTCGTATGGCGTGTCGTGGGGGCCGATGATGAGCGCGCGGAGGAGGTCCATCCGGAACTCGTCCACCCGGACGTGGATCGAGGAGTGGAACTCGAGCGGGAGCTGCGTGGCGAGGCCAGCCAGCTCCTTGGCGATGCGCCGGGACCGGCTGCCGTTGCCCAAGTCCGCGTCCCAGTGGATCGAGCTCCGGAAGTAGTGATTCTGGAGGAGCGCAGCGTGGCCGAACTGGAGTGGCTTGAGCGCCGTCACGTAGTCGAGCTCCTCGCTGAGTGGTTCGTCCATGGCGATCACTTGCTTGCCTTTGTCGTCGTGTCGCGGCGGTGGAGAGCTCTCCTTCTCGATCGTGATGCTGCTAGCGCCGGAGGAGGGCGACCCTGACGGAAGAGCGCCAGGGTGGCGGAGCTTGAAAACTTGGTCCGAGTCTTCCATCCACGCTGCATGCCACGCGAGGCGCTGCCTCCACGCACTGATCCGCCGCTCCAGCCGCTCAAACGTGTCCTTTGCCTCGCCAAACAGCGCCGCCTCCACCGCGGAGTTCTCGTCGTCGTCCACCCCGCCAAGCATCGGCGTGCTCAGGAAGAACGAGGCCTGCGTGTGGAGCTTCGCGAAGCTGGCCATGAGCGACGCCGGATGGAACAGTCCCTCGCTGCCGCTCCAGCAATCGTGGCTCGGATCCGACGCGCTGCCGCAAACCAGCGGGAGGAGCTCCGGAAGGCCGGCAACAGTCCGCAGCAGAGCAAAGAGCTCGAAGTGGAGCTCCGAGCGGGAGACGATGTCCAGCGCTGAATCGTTGCGGAGCAGCCAGCTGAGAACCTCGCGGGCGATAGAGTCACGGCAGCACAGCAGCGCGGCTGCTGGCAGCGAGACCCGGCCGCCATTCTCCAGGCACGCCAGCTTGATCCCGTCCGAGAGCTTCCTCAACACCTCGACCACTGCCTTGTCCGAGGCCTCGACATTCTTATCCACGGCCACTGCGCAAACCTCCTTGGAGCTCGCCGTCTCGGACTTCTTCGCCTTGAAAGCTCGCCGGATCGACGAGCTCTTCTTCGTGTGGTTCTTCCTCGCCACCTTGACGCTCAAGCTCGAGTGATACACTGCCCGGAGCTCCTCCACCGTCGCAAAGATGGTCTCCATCTCCGCGTCCCACGAAAAGGTCGCCGCCGCCGCCGCCACCTTGAGCCGCTTCGCCGAATTCTCACCGGGGTTGAAAGCCGCCGAGGCGTCGCGCATCCTCGAGCACAGCCACTGGTCCACAAAGTCCACGGCCTCCTTGCCGGCGACAACTCTTAGATCCTGTCGGCTCAGGGGGAGCTGGCAGATCGGACACTCGAATCCCGCAAAGCCGGACTGGAGCCTCTCCACACGGTCGCCGACGAGCCCGACCGCGCAATCCCGGCAAAAACCGTGCCCACATCCTTGGAGGGAGTAGCCGTCAACGCCGTCAACGCGGCACACCACGCAGTTGACCGGGGGCTTGACCGCTGGAGGAGCCGGGTCCTCCTCGATCATCGTCAAATCGATCGGATCAAACGGGGCTCGGCACATAGAACACGCGCTGGAGGGCATCTCATTGATGAAAGTGCAAGCCGGGCAAGCTCTCTCGCTCGATCCCGATGATCCTTCTTCGCTGTTCTTGGGCTCGTTGTTGCGAATCTCCTGCTCGATCCGCGGCTCAAACCGGGCATTGCACATAGAACACGCCAGCGCTCCCATCTTGTTGGCGAAAGTGCAAACTGGGCATGGCTTCGATCCGGCGGCGCCGCTCGAGGCCCCAAACTCCGATCGACACATGCTACACTTGGCGGCCCTGGAGAAATTGAGATACGTGCAAACCTCGCAAAGCTTGGAGCGGGCCTCCTTGCCCGATTCATCGTCACTGCCATCGATCACCACAACGTTATCCTGCGGAGGAGGAGGATGGGGAGGAGGAGCACCATAGCCAGGCCCAGGGGCTACAAATTCTACTTCATCTCCTCCACTGTCGTCCTCTTCCTCGTCTTCCTCGTCTTCCTCTTCTTCCTCTTCTCCTTGACTGTAGTAGCCATCCCCCGTCTCGCCCCAGTCCACCTCCATGCCCGGAAAAAGCTTTGCCCTCGCCGGCGAGCGAATATTCTCCCTATCAAACCCTAGGCCTAGGGGAATATACCGGTCAATTTATCTATTTTAGGGCTGACATCAGCGATAGGATGCTGACCTTTGGTTGCTCGGGTTTTATTTTTTTGTTTGCTTTTTCCGCTTTCGCGCGTTTCCTGGATTTGAAAAAGCTCTGTTCTTGGTCGCGGATGATTAGGGCGGAGCGATGAGAGGGCGAGCTGTGATCGTCGGGAGATGGGTAGCAGCGGCGAGAGCCCGTGCCAGTTTATCGTCGAGCTCCTGAGCGAGAATGCGTACGATCTCATCTCCTGATCTAGAGAGGTTTTCACAGTTTCTCTTCCTTTTGCTCGTTTTCTCTAAATCAGTCCCAGTGACCGCGGTCATCGTCCCCCGCCCCCGCCTCTGCCATCGAATCTAATGCTAGCGGCTTTCAATCCTGCTGCGCAAGCAGCAGCTCAAGCTCCGCCACCGCCTCCGCCGCCGCCATCGCCGCCCACCCTCACCGCCACACTGCTCTACAGCCGCGTGAGCAAGAACATCCTGTGCCTGGAGGCCGGCAAGGAGCTCGTGGACCTGGTGGTGGGCTTCCTCACGCTGCCGCTGGGATGCGTCGTCAAGCTCCTCCAGGCGATCGAGATCCCGCCACCCGAGGGAGCGCCGCCGCCGCCGATCTCCAGCAAGCGCGAGGTGAAGCCGCTGGTGGGGATCACGAGCCTGTTCTCGTGCACCGAGAAGCTGGATGAATCGAGGATGTGTTCCAGCAAGAGCTTGCTGGTGGATCCTCGCCCAACCATGACCTTTGGAGACAAAGTGATCCGGATCCCCGGGACCGAGGGAGCGGCGATCTACTGCTGCGGCGCCCCGGCGGCGTGCGAGTTCATCACCAAGAAACCGGATCTAAAGTGTCCCAAGCACAAGAAGGTGATGGAGAACCCGTGCAAAGTCTTGGCGAGCGAGGAGGATGTGATCGCCGCCGCCGCTGCCGCCGCTGGGGGTGGCAAGAAGGAGGAAGCGGCTCCAAAGAAAGGGAAGAAAGGCGGGGCCCCGGCAGTGGAGGCTGCGCCGCCTCCCGGGTATATCAAAACCGGATCGAGTTTCATGATCACCAACACGCTCGAGGTTTTCCCGAGCTCCACCATCCAATCCATCTTGCGACTGGGGACGCAAAAGGGCGAGAAGATGAGCGATCTGGAGAGCATGGAGATTCCAGTGTCGGGCGAGGAGGTAAGCTTTGATCTTTGGTTTCATGCTGATGATCGCTGGATCGATTTGTCACAGATTGTCCAGATGCTAAAGTCGTCGCTTTCTTCCACCAATGTGCTCAACGATGTGTTTGGCAAGCATTGCAAGAAACGTAAGCGCGAGAAATCTCTCCACCACATTCTTGTTCTTGATGTTCTTCCTCTCGTTTCTTGTGATCCCAGCGCTAGCTTCACCGATGATGCTTCTCCCGGCACCACCATCGGCCGGAGCTCTCCCCGCGTAGAGATCAAACGCAGGAAGAAAAGGAGAGAGTGATTTAGAGCGTGGATTGGATGATCTTCCGGGAAGAACACAATGTTTGAGATTTATGGCCTAGTGAGGAAGAAAGGCGTTTTAAAAGCTTGCATGGACTGCCACGTAGCAAACCTCGCCATGGCCATGGGCATGAATGGGCATGGCCATGCATAGTGCCATTCAACGAGAGGGCGGGAAAAAAATCGCTAGGGGAGGCGTTGTTCCAATTACAATAAATTTGGTTTCCACAAAATAGCGAAGATGGTTCTTTAGGTTTTGTGGCGCTGCCCTAATTCGTCCGGTCTGGAGCTCGAGCGCGGCGCCGTGGCAAGGTAGAGCGATTTCTCTCGCAATCTTGTGGAATGTAGATTCGGAGCTCTCGGCCGGCAGCGCGAGCGATCGAAAATGCGGGGGGATTGGCGATGGAGCGGCGCCACCGAGTGACGGATTCTTCGCCGCCGGAGGGAGCCGCGGGCGCGATATGACCGGTGGGAGGGGTTTTCCAGGCAGTGGAGCTGTGGCATTTCACATCGAGCTGGGCGACGATCGGGAGGCCGTGGAGAGGAGGAGGATTGTGTACGATAGCTCCGGGAGGGACGACGATGGTTTCAATGGAATAGTTGGCAGGAGTGAGGTGAGCGTTTCTCACAGTGATGGGTCCGAGGACTACGTAGACGAAGAGCTCGACTTGGAAGCTGATGGAAGGGATGGTCTGGTGGATGGAGATAGAACCCCGCAGATGCAAATTCCCAGCCAGGATAGCTTCCAGAGGATGACGAGCAGCGAGAGGGATAGGATCATGAAAACGGCGAGCCAGAAGTTTGGGATGTTTCCATTCTTTAACCCCGCGTCCTACAGCGAGAACGGTGCGAGGGAGAGGCCAGAGGGCGATGGAAACGGTGGTGAAGCGGGTGTTCCAGACTCCGCTTACTTCAGTTCGATGGTTAACTCCGCGGCTGGACGTGTTCCTCCGGCGACTGATACTACCTCGGTTCGTCACTTCCTGTCGGATCCAGTATCGTAAGTTGTAGATGTTTCGCTATGCTTGCTAACTTGCGGGGTTTATCAGTGGCGCGCTCATGGAGGACGCTGTCATATTTCCCTGCGGACACTCGGTTGGAACCTCTGGCTTTCAACGAGTCCAAGAAACTGTATGTGACGAGAGATGGAATGCTCTTTGTACTGACCATGTTTTTCTTTCTCTTTTGTAGAACGCGTGCGTTGTTTGTATGATGCCGACTGCTCCTATGTCGGCTGCTCCTAACCATGGTATTGCTGCTCGGATTTTCTCCTAAACTCTCACTTTTTTTCTCTGGCAGCTCTAAGGCAAGCGGTACACGCCTACAAACGGGAGAGAGAGTTTCCTATAATCACTTGCTCGAAAACGCTGAAGAGGAAACGCGAACAGGTGTGGTGTGGAACTTATTTCCTGAGACGTTCTTATCGTTTTGTTTACGTTGTTTTAGGAGGATAATGGGAAAGTCAAGGGCGTGCAATTTCCATACTCGGTCAGTGATCGCGTTCTTATCAAGGTAAGTGATTTCACAAACTTTAGAATCCCCGGCGATAAATTCTCCGCAAAATCTCACAGGGTAACAAGCGAACTCCCGAGAGATTTGTTGGCCGCGAAGCGATTATTACCACTCAATGCTTGAATGGATGGTAAAACTCTCGCTTTGATCTGTTCTTTCGTCTCGTTTGACGATGTTCTTTCGCAGGTACTTGGTGAGGACAATAGACAATGGCGAGAGCGTCAGGTTACAATACCGATCTCTCCAAAAAATAGGAGGTAGCAAATCGAAGTTTCGTTTTTTTAACTTTGGATCTTACGAGACATTCTTGTGGCATTCTTGTGGCAGACTAAACGAGCGAAGACAAAGGTTAAAAGGTGAATTCTTCCAGCCCAGATTTTACCAAAGTTTTGTAGAGAGCCTTTGAAAATCAAATTGACGTGTAGCATATTCTCCATCAAATCGACGTGTCAAAGGCGAGGGGCTGCCGTAGGATCACTGATCCGACGGCCGTGGGAGCTTTCGCGCGAAGGAAGTAGCTCTCCGCTCGCACCGCGCTAGGGCAATAATAATCTCGCGAGGCACATTTCAGGTATGGCGCTAGGGTTTTAGGCAATTCTCTTCTACAGAGGCGCTAGAGATTCTCGCCAGAGCCACGATTCATGGCGTCTTTAGCTGAGAGGATAGCTTCCGCGTGCCTGGCAGGTGATTGATCTTTGAAAAATTCGAGTGCGAGAGATCTGATCGGCCGATTGATGCAGTTCTTACGATTGCGCCGCTCGTCGTCAACGTAAATCCCAACGCTAACGTGATTCTTACCGCCTGCCTGACTGTTTTCATCGGTTGTCATCGATCCGTCAAGCCGGCTCCGCCCGTGGTAAGTGTTCTTGAGCTCCTTGCTTTTTCATATGTGAAAAAACGTTCTTTGTACAGGAAACTCTTTCCAAGGGACATGCCATACGCTTCCCTTTCGTCGGCAGTGCCGTCCTATGCTCTTTGTTTCTTCTCTTCAAATTTATTCCCAAGGAGCTGATCAACGGGATACTCACGCTCTACTTCGTGGTTCTCGGAGTTCTTGCTCTAACGTAAGTAACTTGTGTGTCAAGGAAAATTAACTCATTGTTCTTGTAGTGCTACCATCTGGCCAGATGTCAAAGACTTCATTCCAAAGGCCTGGGACGAGAAAGAGATTTCTTTACATCTTCCGTATTTCACCAGTAAGATCATCTCATTTTATCACTTTGTGCGATTTTTCTTAGGATTCGCTGCAGATGTTGGTGTGGAGTTTACTCTTGCCCAGCTGTTTGTATCCATTCCGGGAATTTGCTTTTGTGCTTGGTATGCTCTACGAAAACACTGGCTGGCGAACAACACCCTCGGACTGGCATTCTCGATACAGGTGCTTTAGAGCTCTTCTTTTCTCAATTTACACAATGAACATACTTTCAGGGAATCGAGATGCTGTCTCTGGGCTCATTCAAGATCGGGGCGATTCTTCTGGTACCGTGTTCACTTACAAAACAACACTTTGATGATTTGTTTTCTCTCTCTGTCTCGCCAGGCCGGGCTATTCGTATATGACATCTTCTGGGTATTCTTCACTCCTGTGATGGTCACCGTTGCGAAGTCCTTTGATGCTCCCATCAAGGTTTGCTCTCTCAGTGCAATGCATCCTTCTCTAATCCCTCCATGCAGCTAATCTTCCCGACTGGCTCTTCGAGCAAACCGTTCTCTATGCTGGGTCTCGGCGACATAGTAATCCCAGGTAAAGCCATCTTTTTCCTCTTCTTTGGTGACGGGGGATTTCAACTCAGGAATTTTTGTTGCACTGGCTCTGCGATTCGATGTGTCTCGGGGCACTGGAAAGCGCTACTTCACCAGTGCGTTTATGGGCTATATAACTGGAATCGTGGCCACCATAATCGTCATGAACGTGTTTCAAGCTGCTCAGGTAGAAGTTCAAGCACTACTGTTTAAAAGCTTGTCTGACTTTCTCCTTGGTGTTCTATCCAGCCCGCATTGCTGTACATTGTACCGTGCGTGACGGGCTTCTTGGCCGTTCACTGCCTTGCGAAAGGGGAGATCAAACCGGTAAATCACACATCTAGTTACATCTAGTTCTTGTTTTGCCTCGAAATCTTACATGGTTTTTTTCCTTGTGATTCTAGCTCCTGGAATTCGATGAGGCTGCCACAAAACGAGCTCTCGAAGAAGCAACGAGCTCGGAAGAAACCACTGAATCCACCAAAAAGGATGACTAACAAAGGTAAATTTTTGTATCGCCAAGAACAACGTCTTGTTTTTCAAAACATTTAAAAAAAGTTTGGAAATTTTGGCATCCGACGCTTTCCAGGATTGAAAGGTCGAGATTGAAAGGAATATACGAATATGCCGCCACGCGAAGGTAACGTCTCTTCAACATGGCGCGCGACCCGTGGTGCTTGGAAACGAGGGTTTCGTTCCAAGACTGGGGCCAGTAGTCCCGGCGATCGCCACTCGCCGGTCCGATCGCTCCATTCGTGATCTTTGCCCTAGATTTCGGCGCGGCCCAGAAATCGGCAGCGCAGTCTTGACAATGTGAGTTCTTGGCTGGATTCCGCAGCGGAATCCTCGCTAGTCCGTGTTCCAGGTGGGAGCTTCGCCGCCGGCTGTGGCGAATCAGCTAGGATCGGCTGGAGCTCCAGAAAACCAGCGCAATGAAGGTCGACGCGGGGCAAATCCGGATTATCATGCGGCCTTCTCGCCCCGAGATTGAAGGTAAAGCTCGCGATTCTTAGCCCCCTTTCGGTCTCGATCAATGGGAATTTTTCTTGCGGTCTTTGCAGCTGTGACTCCTTCCACTGTTAGTCGCAGCCCGACTAGCAGGAGCCCGAGGAGTCCCGCGAGCGTGGCAAAGAGTGGATCGGACTCCGAGCACAAGGCTAGCAATATCCATGTATACGTTCGCGTTCGTCCTCTCGCGAAGGACGAGATAGCTTCCGGGGTAAAGTCCGCGGTGGAAGTGTCCAGGGACGAGACAACCATCCAGGTTGGTGAGTACATTATATGGCACTGGAAAATTCACTAAGATTTCGTTAAAGGGAGAATGAGACGAGTGGGACTCCTCCACTGTGCTAAATTGCTACGCTATGTCAGGTTGTGGATCGCCAGCAATCTTTCGGGTATACGGCCATGAAAACGTTCCAGGTGTGTGAAGAAGTTTTTCTTTTCTTTCTACCTTGTAAGATTCGCTAAGCTTGTGTGTGGGATTTTTGGCAGTTTGATGGCTGCTTTGGTCCCTCCATCACGCAAGAGAAGCTCATGGAGAAGTGTAATATGAGGAAGCTGCTGGACTCGGTGCTGGATGGTTACTCGTCGACTGTGATGGCTTATGGCCAAACTGGCTCGGGGAAGACTTACACAATGTGTGGTCGCCAAGAGGTAAGAGCTTTGAGCGATGGAGTTGAGCTAACACTCAATGTGAATGTAGGGTAGCGTGAAGGAGAAGATAACAGAGGGTGGTGTTATTGCTCGTTCAGTGAGATATATTTTCGAAGCTATCAGAAGACGAACCGTATTGGATGATCAGAAAACGTACTCCTTGCGGGCCTCCTACTTTGAGATCTACAATGAGCAAGTATGTTTCTCTCATTTTGCTCGTTTCTCCCTTTTGTGACGAAATGAATTAAGAATGACAGGTCCATGATTTACTGCGGGAGGAGTGCTCTCCAAGGGAGGTCAGATGGAACCAGTCGGACGGTTTTCACGTTGAAGGCCTTCTTGTTGTGGATTGCGAGACTGTTGAAGACGTGTTTGCTGTTGTGAACGAAGGGGCCAAGAACCGCAAGGTAGCTGAAAGAAGAATCTAGATCGTTCTAATGTTCTGGATTTTACAGGTTGGCTCTCACAATCAAAACAAGGATAGCAGCAGGAGTCATTGTATTATGACCCTGTACGTGGATTCCATATCTTCCATGGGAGATGGGCCAATTCTACTGAGACATGGCCGACTACTATTTGTTGATTTGGCCGGAAGTGAAAGGTTGAAGAAAACAAAAAGCTCCGGCGACATGCTGAAAGAGACGGGAAGCATAAACCGGTCGCTTTTTACGCTTGGCAAGGTAATCTTGACGCGTTTATCGAGCCATTCGAGTTAATGCTCAATGTACAGGTTATCTCAGCTTTATCGGAGGGTAAGAAGGAGGAGATAGTACCATACAGGTCTGGATGTGTTTGTAATGTGAATTAGCTCGAGCTTACGCATTTTGGCAATGCAGGGAGAGCATGTTGACGAAGCTTATAATGGAGAGTTTGGGAGGCAGCAGCCTGGGACTTATGATTGCTTGTGTTTCTCCGGCAACAACCGTTGTCGATCAAACGTTGAGCACCCTGCATTACGCCACTTGCGCGAAGCAGATTGTCAACATTCCATCTGTGAAGATGGACGAGAAAGACAGGGTACGTATGACATCCTTTCCGACAGGGAAACTTACTGACGTGTTTATGTTTCGCAGGTCATAACACAACTCCAGAAAGAAGTGTCTCGCCTGAAAGACGAAAACCAGTCGCTGAGGTCGAAGCTGGGGATCATGGGAACTGGACAAATCTGCGACATAGCGACGTTGTCAAACTGCGCTTCGAAAATGTGCATGCCATGCTCAAAGCCGGACGCGAGGCCGAACGACTACATCCCTTCCAAGGTACGTCCACTACTCTTTCCCTTTAGACTGCATCTATTGACCGGTAACCCAGGTGGATGTGGGCTTGGAGAAACCAATCCCATGGCCTCATGGTGTTTCATCATGAAACTAATGGGTGGGGAGATGCATTTCCTGCATCGGAGGAGGGGGACTTTACATACTTTGGCTAGACGTTCCATCAGAGAGTCTTTCTTCCTGGTTCCTGGGTCTGTGGTGGTGCTGTGCATGTTGTGCATGCTTGCTTCTTTGTCTTTCTTATTCATGTTGTGGCATTTCTCTGGCAAGACAAAGTTTCAGCTGAGCTACAGCCTGGATTGTCGACGAGCTAAGGCTAGTGGAACAGGGCAGGAAAGACGTGAGAATGTAGTAAACAGGGCCAGGAGAAGAGCAGGCAGGAGGATAGGCGTAGTAGATAGGGGGTAACGCTGAACCTTGTGAAAGAACCGCGCTGCTTGCTCTTTTAGCTTTTGCTTTTTGCCAACTCGTTTTGAATGGAACCATGGGTGCTGCGTGCAGGAGATCACAGGCGGAGAAAAGCTGCCTGAGGGACGCTTAAGTAGAAATGGCAGTCCGGATAAGCAGCCGGGCAGTGAGGATTGGTCCGTGGTAGAGTTTTTCACTCGGTACAGTAGGGAGAGTCTAAAGGGGACAGGGAAGGCAAAATGGTTACAGCAGGCAGCAAACAGGAGGCAGCGGATATGTGTGGATCACTTGACTCCGTCGATCAAAAACAAGGTGCTGTCGCGGACGAGCAGCCGGTGTGGTCCGTCCGAGCCGGATTTCCAAGGAAGTATCATTGTCAACCACGACGCGTTCTATCGGATACTGGACTTGGATTTGTAGCGTGGGTGACGGGACGGGCAGCACACGGGGGTGGAAGTGTTTGATGGTTTGTCGGGTCATCCGAAAGCCAGGGCTGCGCAGGCGAAAAAACTCCAGCTCAAAAACGCAGGAAGAGCTGTAAGTTGGAAGTTTGTGACTGCCTGGTTTTGCTTTGCATCGTTTGCCTTCTTTCTCTTTTTGTTACTTCTTCTTCACAGCGATGTTTCTACAGTGGCTAACGTCGTGTTTGATATTCTATCGATGCAGAGAGATTTGTGGTCGTGCTTCTGCTTTTGGTGGCCACGGCCTAGATGATATTTTTTTGGGGGGTCCATCCTCGTCGGTCGGGAATGTACATTCTAATCATCCTGTTTCGAAAGGAGACAGGAGCTTCAAATAGGACTCTACTCTCTCGTCCATCCATCCAGGTAGCGTGTTTTGCTCTAGCTTCGTAGAGTTCTTTCATTCTTTTCTACGGGAATGTCTCAGCTAGATTGGATTGATTAAACTGCCAGCAGTAGTAAAGCAGGCAGCGCGTGTCGATCGATCGACAAGTTTCACGCGGAAGACGATCGCGCGAAACTTACGAGACGAAAAGCCAACGCCAGCAAACTCCTTTTTAAAGAAGAAGAAGGCGCGACATCCAACGGCGGAGGTTTCCAACGGCTGGGATCTCTTTTCGCCTCCATCTTGTTGCCAAATCGCCATCGCGGAAGCGACGTTGTGGCGACCGTTTCCAAATCCCGGGGCATATTCTCCGGCACCAACGCGTACGACACAATCGCTCTGCGATGTAGGTAGACGTGTTGCTGTTTCTTCCCGGAAAGCATAAAAACAGAGCATCCCTCTCTTTTTCTTCTCTCCCTCTTGGCGCTCTTTGTCTCGTCTAGCCCCCAATTCTCCGCTTCTCCCGCTCGATTCTCTCAATCCAGGGCCGCAATTGCCCTCTCTCTGCCAGATTTGAAGTGGGCAGCGTCCAATTTCGCGTTTCCGCCGCGGATTGATCTGGGTTGGAGCTGGTGCTCTGTTTTTTGCCTTTGCTAGTGTTCTTGGGTGGCTATGGCGGAGCTAAACAGGCCTCCCCAGCAGCAGAAGCTCAACGGCGCCTACTACGTCCCGAATGCCTACCCGGTCGGCGACAATCGCAAGCGGCCATCGGGGCGCAGGAGCCGGATTGGATTTTGCTGCCGCTGCCTGTGCTCCACGCTCCTGGCGATCATCTTCGCGCTGGGCATCGCGGCGCTCGTCATCTGGCTCGTCCTCCGCCCCAAGGCGCCCAAGTACACGGTCCAGGACGTGAGGATCAACGCGCTCAATGTCACCGCCGGCTCTAGATCCGTGGACACGGACATCGTGCTGGGCATCCGGGCCGAGAATCCAAACAAGCGCATCACGATCAAGTATGGCGGCATCCACGCGCGGGTCTTCTTCCTGGGCACGCAGATTGGGGCGGGATCCATCGCTCCATTCACGCAGCCCAGGAGGAACGTGACGGTGGTGAGCGCGCCCATCCGTGGATCGGGCGTGGTAGTGTCCCAGCCCACCGCGTCCAGCCTGAGAGCGTCGGTCGATCGCAGCAGCATTCCACTGGTTGTGGACGTGAATGTGAGGGCCAAGATCAAGACCGGGAGCGCGAGCACGTTTTGGTTCCGCGTGAGAGTGAGGTGCGCGATCCGGGTGAGCTCGCCGGCGTCGCCGGGCGGGGCGAGGATGCTGAGCAAGAACTGCAAGAGGCGTGGTGGCAAATTCTGGTAGAAGAAGAATGGAAATCGCCCTCCTCGCTCCCTCGCTCGCTCGCTGGGGGACGAATTTTCATATACATCCTTTCGTTTTTGGTCCCCTTTCTCTTCTCGCTCGCATTGTTTCTATAGATCGATCCAATTCCTCCCTCTCGATGGAAATTGGCCATGGATTTGAGCTTTGTTTGTGCTGCCAAGGATCTATTCCTTGCTTTCGAGTTTCATTTTTACAGTGGTGTGAATACTAAAGAGATCTATAAACATGCATTCTTCGTTCGTCCGCCACGGAAATTTGCTCGCCCTTGTGGCGCGATTCCTCTTTTTTTACTGTGCGATTTACACCATGGAAATTGCTTTTTCGCCTCGTTTCTTGGGATCGTGTGGCGTGGAGCTACCTGTCAATCTCAGACACAGAGGGTGTGATCCAGCAGTGACAAGATGCTGACGCTTGACTGGGCAGTTTGACCGGGTCAACCCATTCGGTCAACCCAGCAAAGGACTTTCGTCCATCTTTAACATTTTCGCTCTTCCTTGATGATCTAATCCAGGAATTCTCTATCACGATTTTGGAGGCGAGAATCCATAGACAGTGAAGCCACCGTCAACGCTGATCACTTGCCCGGAAACGTAGGAAGACGCTGGCATTGCCAGGAACGCTACAACCGCGGAGACTTCGTGGGGTTCCCCGACTCGTCCCGCGGGCGTTCGATCCACCACCGCAGCTTCGTAGCCGGGCCTGCCCAGAACCTACGAGTCGAATCAGTTTGAGAAGAACTTTCGAAGAACTAACGAAAAACTTTAAGAACTTTCTACTAGAGCTTGGCACCTGTTGCGCAAGATCAGTTTTGATGTACCATGGGGCCACTGCATTGACACGGATCCCATCTTGAGCCCAGTCACACGCCAAGTTCTTGGTGATTTGATTCATGGCACCTGTTAGAAGGTAGAAGATGTATGGAAGTTATCCTTTTGCTCGTATCTACCTTTGGTGGCTGCGTAGAGTACGCCCGTGGAGATGGCCACCACTCCGGCCACCGAGGAGATGAAAACCAGGCTGGAGTTTCCAGCGGCTTTGAGCAATGGGTGAGCCAATTGCGATGTGTGAAAGGCGGAGTCGAAGTTTGTGGAGAAAACCGTGGAGACGTCCTCGCCAGTGTACTCCAGCGTAGGCTTTCTTACGTTGGTTCCAACGTTGTTTACCTGGAGACAAGAGGAGATTGATCAGAACAGAAGGACCAAGGACGAAGCTCAAGAGATCTAGAAAAGATGGATAGTGCTTACAAGAATGTCGAGCTTTCCACCAAAGTGTTGGGACACAAGGCCCATGAGTGCTTCTCTCTCGCTGGGGTTGGAGAGATCACAAGTGGAGCCATGGACGTCGAGGTTGGATTGGCGCCACTCCTGGAGCCGCTCGCTCAAGCTCTGCCCGGAGCGCGAGCATGTATACACGGAAGCTCCAAGGCCCGCAAGCTCCTCCACAACCGCTCGCCTGGGTGTCATCCAAATTTTTTTTGGGTGGATTTGAGACCATCTACATGAAAGAGCCTACCCGATTCCCCGTGTTCCTCCCGTGACGAGGGCGCTCTTGCCGCTCAAGCTCCATCGCTGGGAAAGGGATCCCATTCAGAAAAGGATCGAACTGGAGACCTTCCGTAAAAGACAACAGCTAGATTTTATGAACTGACCAATTGCAACATGAAACCATTAGCAATCCCACAGGTAAAATGAAAGAAAAGATTCCAGTTCTGAAGCCTTCTGTGCGCTCAATTTAGGGCAAAGAAAGAGGTATGAACTAGAGACCTTCAATAACGTGATGACCAACTACACCATGAAAACATCAGCAAATGCCTCTTCCAGGCATTTGTTATTGACAAGTAAAATCAAAGGAAAGAAAATGCTTTAACATGTGGCTTCATCCGAGACCTTCAAGTGTATGAGACTGGTGTGATGACCAATTACACCATGAAACGATCACGAAATGCATTGCCTTTCCTGGGCATTGCTATTGTCCCTAACGCACAAGTAAAATAAAAGAAAAGAAAGGCCTTTTAAATTGGCTTCATGCTAGAGACCTTCAATGTGTAAGACTGACCAATTACACCATAAAACCATCACCAAATGTCTTTCTTGGGTATTCGCTTGGACAAGCAAAATGAAAGATATTACGTTGCTTCGTCCAGGTTACAGACCTTCAATGTGTCGTGATGACCAACTTCACCAGATACCTGTTTTGGGCATTTGTAGTTAACCCACAAGTAAAATGAAAGTAAAGAAAGTGCTTCTGGCAATTGGCTTCATCCAGGTTTGAACTGGAGGTCTTCCATGAAACATTGAACCATCAACAAATAACTTTTATGGGCATTTGTAGTTGTCATAACCCACAAGTAAAATCAAGCTTCATCTGGAGACCTTCAGTGTGTCACTACACCATGAAACCATCAGCAAATGCCTTTCCTGTTGTCCTAAATCACAAGTAAAAATCAAAGGGAAAAAAAAAAGCTTTAACATGTGGCTTCATCCAGGTTTGAAGACCTTCAATGTTTTGATAACCCCATGAAACCATCAAAACATGCCTTGCCTTTCCTTGGCATTTGCTATTGTGCCTAACTCACAAGTAAAAACAAAGCTTTAACTTATAGCTTCATACAGGTTTGAATTTGAGGCTGTCAATATCAAAGACAAGACAGTGATAACTAACCACACTATACCATCAACAAATGCCTTCCTTGGGCATATGCCGTTGAACCCACAAGGGAAAAGAGTGCTTTCACATGTGGCTTCATCCAGGTTTGAACTGGAGACCTTCAGTGTGTTAGACTGACGTGATAACCAACTACACCATGAAACCATTAACAAAATCTTCATTATGTGAAAGGGAATTTAATGAGGAAGAGAGAAACCATAGACAGTAAATCCCCCATCAACACAAATCACTTGTCCAGTAACATAGGACGAAGCCGGCAATGCCAGGAACGCAGCAACAGCAGCCACTTCACGAGGCTCTCCAACTCGTCTTGCGGGCGTTCGATCCAAAACAGCAGCTTCATAGCCGGGCTTTGCCAAAATCTAAACAACCAAGCAATAAGAACTTACAAAAAACACTAGATCTTTTTTATCACCTCTTCAACCAGGTCCGTTTTGATGTACCACGGCGCCACTGCATTGACGCGGATCCCATCTTGAGCCCACTCGCACGCCAAGTTCTTGGTGATTTGATTCATGGCACCTGTGATCTCGATCACGTAAAAGCTTTTGAATGGAATCTTTTGCTCGTACCTTTGGTGGCTGCGTAGAGTGCTCCCGTGGCGATGGCCACCACTCCGGCCACCGAGGAGATGAAAACCAGGCTGGAGTTTCCAGCGGCTTTGAGCAAAGGATGAGCCAATTGCGATATGTGAAAGGCCGACTCGAAGTTTGTGGAGAAAACTGTAGATATGTCCTCGGTGGTGTAGTCGAGCGTGGATTGCTTCCGCACATTGGTCCCTACGTTGTTTACCTGGAGAAATACCAAGATAAAGATCAATCAAACACCAGACAAATTAAGAGCTCTACATGAGAAGAAAGTGGATTTCTTCGCGGCAAAAACTCTTACAAGGATGTCAAGCTTTCCGCCGAAGTGTTGGGCCACAAGCTTCACGAGTTCTTCTCTCCCGCTGGGGTTGGAAAGATCACAGGTGGAGCCATGGACGTCGAGGTTGGATTGACGCCACTCCTGGAGCCGCTCGTTCAAGTTCTGCTCGGAGCGCGAGCATGTATACACGGAAGCTCCAAGCCCGGCAAGCTCCTCCACAATCGATCGCCTGTATCACGGGTGTGATCCAGACTTTCCATTTCTTTTCGGATGGAGTTGAGACAATCAGCCCCATCAAAGAACTTACCCGATTCCACGAGTCCCTCCCGTGACGAGGGCGCTCTTGCCGCTCAGGCTCCATCGCTGGGAAGAGGAATCCATTGCAAATCGAAATACCAAACTTCTCTCTCTGTTTTTGGCCACAGTGATTTGTGCTGCCTCGTGTCCGCATGGAAGAAGGACACCTGAAAGCTCAAGATCTTTCTATTATAGTAGCTAATTACATGTGTTTTAAGGCTACATTTTACCACTCAGATTCCACAACTGGAACATACCAATACTTGTAGCCCAAGTCCCAACCAGTGTTAAACAAAGCAAAGTCTAAGACATACCACTCGAGGGGACCGTAATCATAGTTCTTTTTTTGGTCATAAGCATTGAACGAGCGTGACTTGCCATTCAAGGAGACGTCGCACCAAAAGAGCGTGTTTCCGAACACTCGATCGCCGAATGGCCAGCCGAATGAAGCCTTGGGCTTGATCTTCTGTGCCCCCAAATCGTTTTGCGCGGATCGGCAGTGGAGAAATAGATCAAACTTAGAGCAATTAAAGATCGTGACGGTCTTTGCTCCTCCTGCTGCTATGAGAACTAGCAAGAGGGCAAGAACAAAAAGATTTCGGTGATAGCATTGGAAAGTTCAGGGAGGACACTCGTGATCATTTGATTTATACTAGTCCAAAATATCAAACCTTGGACCGCAAAACTATCTCATGTAGTTTAAAGTTCGTATCTTTTCTTTTGTCCATAGACACAAGAACCTTCAAGCTTTGATCGTCTCATCTCTGGACGGACAGCTTCTCCTGGAAGATAATATCGTCCTCAAGGATTGGATTGGAATCTGGATCAAGGTATGGAGGAAGCAGCACTGCCGTTTTCTGGGTAGCCAAGCTCGCACGGAAGGCCTCGGCGATCTTCTCCGGCCCGTAGTAGTGACCCTCGGCTACGTGAATCGAGGCATGCACCAAGAACCCATCCTCGATCACCAAGTTGTAGAAGTTGCATTGTGTTCCTCGGTAGATCTTCCGGAAGCGGGGCTTGTGTAGATCAAACTTGAGCTCGCCCAGGCTAAAGAGCGTTGTAAGCCCCTGGAAGAAAAGACTAAAGCCCACTCGATCTCGCTGAGTGAAACTTACGTTGAAGTGGAACTGGACAATGTCGTCTTTCCATTGCTCGAGCAGCGCGTCCAGTTGCTTCCACACCTCCTCTCGAGAGACGCCCCTCTTCTCGTACATGTCCTCCAAGCGCGAGGTCGATTCATCCTCTCCTTTTCCTTCGTGAGATCCAGAACGGTTGCCACCTGTAAAACCAACCAGAACCCTAATGCCCTTTACGAACTAGCTAAGCTAACCATTTCAAGCTGCGGCAACTTTTCTCATGGCTTGCCTAACTCGACCTCTCAGACCAGGATGTTACAACCATCGCTGAAATGATTGATGCGGCAATCGTGGCTTGGTTCCCGACTGGCGACCCGGGGCTTCTTTTGAGGACAATGGTGTGACAGTGATCAAGCACAAGCGAGAGAAGAAAGTCCATCGGTAGCTCACCGAGATTTCAAGCCCCAGAATGAGACCGAACACCGCCCTCCATTTTACCACTTGCGGCATCCGCTCAGCGCGCTCATGAGCGTCATAAATCCCGTCGCGCCGATGAGAAACAGCAATTTTCCTTGACACGAGGTTGGAGCTGCGGACTCGGTTTGGACGACAGGCGTGAAATAGAAGAAGACGGCGGACATGTCCTGGGCGGTGGATTTCTTCCTCACATTGTGTCCTACGTTGCTTACCTGGAGAAACACTTGGGACAAAGCCTGGATCGCTTCCTCACATTGTTTCCTACGTTGTTTACATCTCAATCATAATCCATCAATCGAGACAAACTAACGCGAGAAGAAAGCGGATTTACTCGAGGCAAAAACTTCGTTGTCGAGCTTTCCGCCTAAGTAAGGGGACACAAGCGGCAAGAACTTCAAAACTTCTTTACAAGGATGTCGAGCTTTTCCGCCAAAATGTTGCCCATTCATGAGCGCTCTCTCGCTGGGCTTGGAGAGGCCACAGTGGATTGGCGCCACTTGTGGAGCCGCTCATATATTACACAGAAGCTCCAAGCCCCGCAAGCTCGATTCATGAGTTTTTATCGACGAGTAACCCATCAAAGAACTTAACCCGATTATACGAGATTTCTCTTCCACAGCCAGCTCATTGTTCTTAATCTTTTATAATAGAACTATTACATGACATTAGTTTTTACCACTCAAACTCCACAACTGGAACATACCATTTCCTGGTTTCTTGGTGCCAACCAGTGCCAAACAAAGCAAAGTCCAAAAGATACCACTCGATCTGCTCGTAATTGGAGCTCTTTTTTTGGTCGTAAGCATGGAACTGGAATGACTTACCATCCAAGGAGAAGTCACACCAAAAGAGCGTGTTTCCAACCCATCGATCACCGAATGGCCAGCCGAATGAATCCTTGGGCTTGAGCGTCTGTGCCCCCAAATCGTTCTGCTTGGATCGGCAGTGGAGCGATAGATCCGACTCAGAGCGATTAAAGATCTTCACGGTCTTTGCTTCTGCTGCCGCTGTCATGAGAACTAGCAAGAGTGGAAGAACGTGACAAGATTTCGGTGATAGCATTGGAAAGTTGAGGGAGGGCAATTGCGATCATCTGATTTATAGTTGTCGAACTTGGACCGCTAAACTATCTCATACGGCTTGAAGTTTTCGCGGCATTCATAGTTGAGACAAAAACCTTCAAGCCTTGACTGTCTTATCTCTGGATGGGCAGCTTATCCCGGAAGTATGGAGGTAGCAGCACTGCGAGATTCAACACAAAGTTGCCACCTAGAGTTCTTTCACAAATGCCTGGTCGGGCATTTGCCTGAAACTCTATAATGGTTTACCAGATGTCTTTGAAAACGAGAAGCTGTAATGGATATCTAGGCTTCTCCACAAACGCTAGCCATGAGCAAAGTTGCCGCAGCTCGATCTTCCTCCGGGATTTCAAGCCCCAGAATGAGATCAAACACCGCCCTCGCGACGCGGGCATTTCCCCACTTGCGGCATCCGCCCAGCGCGCCCATGAGCGTCACAAATCCCGGCCTCGGCCGCTGGCATTCCAACATCCCCACCGCCTCGTCCAATCGATTCGCCCGACAAAGGAGATCCACGACGCAGCTAATGTGCTCCTCGGAGGGGACAATGCCGTACACGTCCCGCATTTCGCGGAAGAACTGTCGCCCTTGGTCGACGAGCCCGGCGTGGCCGCACGCCGCGAGAATCGAAACGAAGGTCACTCGGTTTGGTCGGAGGCCCTGCTCGGCTTCCATCCCCTGGAGGGAATCCAGCACGCGATCGATCTTGCCTTGGTGGCTGTGAGCTCCCACGAGAGCGTTCCACATCGCGAGGTCTCTAGCGGCAGCCGCGGCATCAAATACCGCCTCCGCGTCGCGCGAGCTCCCGGATCTCCCGTAGAAATCGATCAGTGCGGTGGTCACTAGCAGCTCGCTCTCGAATCCTCGCCGGCAGATCTTCGCGTGGATCGATCTTCCCGCCGCCAGAGCTCCCAGGTTCGCGCAGGCCTTGAGCGCTGTGAGATAAGTCACTGGGCTCAGAGGGGCTGGGATTTGCGCGAGCTCCATTCGAGCGAAGAGGGCGAGAGCTTGCTCGTTCTCGCCACCCTCGACGTAGGCGGAGATCATGGCTGTCCACGCGAAAACGTCGCGGAGATCCATGGAATCAAACACGGTCTTGGCTTCCTCCACGCTCCCACACTTTCCATAGAGATCGATGAGAGTGCTCGAGAGAAAGAGATGGTGGTCTTGTCCAATGTTCTTCAGTTGTGAATGGATAGCTTGTCCCCTTCTCAGGCATGAAAGTTTCATAGATTTGGAGCTCGGACTGGTGGAACTCGGGCTCGAAGAGCTCGGACTGGAACTCGGGCTCTTTCCTGCCAAGTTTACACAGGCCTTGAGCGCTGCGAGGTAAGTCACAGCGTTGCTTCTCTCGAGCCTTTCAATCGACTCAAACGTCTCCAAGGCCTGTTCTTCGTCGCCACCCTCGGCATAGCCGAGAATCAGCGCGTTCCACGATGCGGCGTCGTCGTGGGCGATCGCGATTCCATCGAAAACAAGCTGAGCTTGGGTCATGCTGCCGACTTTTCCATAGAGATCGACCAGAGCGTTCGCCACGAATCCGTTGGACTCGCTGCCGGACCTTAGAATCCCCGAGTGAACGTCTCGAGCTTTCGAAAGATCTCCTGGAAAGTTGGCGCAGGCCTTGAGAGCTGCAAGGTAAGTCACCGCGTTTGGGCGAACTCCATCGTCTCGCATTCTCTCCAGGAGCTCCAGAGCAGTGTCTCCACGGCCACTCTCGGCGTATCCCAGAATCATGGAGCTCCACGACACAACATCCTGCGTTTTCATTCGATCGAAGACGCTCCTCGCGTCAACCATGCTCCCACACTTCCCATACGTGTCGATGAGCGTGCTTGCCACAAAAGTATGGAGCTCCAGTCCGGATTCGACGAGCTGGGAGTGGATTCTTCGTCCAATCTCCAAACACTCGGTGGATTTTCCTCGCTCTCTCGACGCGAGGTTGGCACAGGCCTTGAGAGCTGCGAGATAAGTCACTCGGTTTGGGCGACAGGATCTCTCCAGGCCCGAGCTTTCCATTTGCGTGAAGAGATCGAGAGCTTGCTTGGCATCGCCATTCTCGGCGTACCCAAGTATGAGAGCGTTCCACGAGACGACGCTCTTGCGAGGATTGGTTTCGAAAATCTTTCGAGCATCAACCATGCTCCCACACTTGGCATACATGGAAACGAGCGAGTTTGCAACGTAAGTGTCCGACGATGCCGCAGCGTCTCTGGAAACCTCGCCATGGATTCTCCTCCCGCCCTCTAAATCTCTGGAGCGAGCACATACCTTGAGCGCCGAGAGGAGAGCTGGAATGCTCAACGCCACTCCCTCTTTTGTCGAGGCTTCCCGGATTCTTTTCCGGCCGGAATATGAAGATGGTTCCTCCATCCTGGCGAGAAGAGCTCCAGCATGATGCCATTCCATAGAGAAATCAACCCATAGAAAAGAAAGACTAGATTTTTTGTGGATCCAACCTCTTGAGTTCCTTTTAGTACACAATGCTAGGATCATCTATCGCTCTACAACAAAAACCATCCATTTCCCTTCCTCTCTCCAGCTTTTCCTTCTTCTCTAGCTGTGGATCTAGTATACAAACCCAAGGCAAGGAAAACGAATCAAAGAATGGACGTGTGCTCTCTCTTTCATCCATTCAACTTTGCTCCGTCTTGACGGCCATGGCGGCTTGCCTTCTACGCATTTGAGCCTCGAGCTTATTTTGCATCTCTGCGAAACAAAAACAACGTTAGAAACTCTGCTCTTCATGCGTAAAACCAAGTGAAGAAGGGAGAAAGGCTTACTCTTGTGAGCAATTGCCTTGCGAGTGAGTGCCAAAAACTCTTCCCACTCGAACGATTGTAGCTCTTGTTTCTCTTCGTCTGTGAGTTGGAAGTTTGGCTCCCTTCCACACATATAAGCAGCTCTAATGCCAGACAAAGATAAGAAACGACGAAACGAAACGAAGAGCTATGAAAAACTCTTTACCTGTCGTAGAGATGAGCAGCCTCTTCTTGGGTGTTGACGGTTCCCAGATGGACTTGTTTCTTCCCAACTTTGATGGCAGCCTGCCACTTCAAGTTCTTGAAGTAAACTCCCCGCAACATGCACGGCTCCTGGTTATTCACTTGCTTCCTCCGGTGTAGCTTTCGCTTCTTGAGCTCCTTGTCTGCCAAAAACCAAGGATATCTCAAGCCGAGCAAACTAGAAAAGCAGTAGCGAGAGATACCTTTGAAGGGGGTTTTGAAAGCGAGAGGTGGTGGCTTGCCTATGTACTCCTGCAACTACGAAGGCATAGCCTCTTAGAACTTGAAACTGGAAACGAAGAGAAGAAAGTGATGGAAACTTACGTCTGTTCCATCCGGCCGATACATGGCCAGCGCCAGAGGCTCCACATTTTCACTACACTTGTTGGAAGCTTGCTGCAGCCTACATTTCTCTGATAGAACACACACACAGGAAACAAGTAAGATATGAGCTTTGAAGCAATAGAAACACTTACCACTCAGGTGCTTTCGTTTTCGAATGCTGACCATGGCCTCCAGCTAAAGCTCTTTCAAAGTCTCCACCAAAACGACAGTAAAGCTAGTCCCACCCTCGAATCGACTTGTAGCAGCACAGCTTTTCTCCTTCCCGGCCCTCCACCAAAGCAAAAGCTCGATTTCTACGCACCCGTCCTTCCTGTTCACGCCGTAAGCTCCAAGCTTTCCTGGATCCCTTCCCCGCGGCTAGTTTGTCCCCGAGCTACTGTCCTACCACTGTTCTTCCCCTTTGCTCCAAATCCAAAGCTCCCCCCTGGATGTGTCCTAGCGCTCTAGCTGCAAACACGCACACACCGGGATGAAACGAATCATCGAGAAAGGTGGCACCGATAAAAACCAGCCAGCCAACCAGCCACCCCCGTCAATCAATCAATCAATCCGGCCCCCACGGAGCTCCGGAAAAAGTCAACTTACAAGAACCACCGCCGCCTCCTCTTCGTCTTCTTCCTTGCAGCTCCAGCTCCACAAGATGGACCGCGCAAAAAAAATCCCCCTCTTCTTCTCGCTCTCCTAGTCAAACACAAGCACCTCTATTCCTCTTTCTCCTCCAACCAAGAACACGAAGAAAAAAAAAAACCTCTCCCCCAGATAGACGCAGAGAAAGAAAGCCCAAGCGCAGGCAGCAAGAAAGAAGAGAGACTTACCCGTGTAGCGTTTTGGAGCATTCCCTGGGATTCAATGGAGGCGGCCGAGCAAATGGGTCGGCGCTAAACCTTGCGAGGCGCGGCGGCGAGCACAGCCCAGTTCCCCAATCGCTGGAATCGGCGAGAGCGGCGGCCCCAAAAGCCTCCAAATCTTTGCTTGCCACCTTTTGCTAAACGAAGCGAGGGGACTAGCGCACCACCCTCGACGCCATGGATGGTGGTGGTGGTGGACGCTTAAACTCACGCACACGCACACGGGGGCACACCACTTAATAGAAAGAAAGAGAAAGAAAGAAGAAACCCAACCCAACTCTCTCCTCTCTCTTTGAGTTGATAGCCTAACTCTCTAAGTAAGAGTGAGATGCACGACTTTCAACTCTAACACGAAAAAAAAAAGGGCAAACAATGGGAGAGAGAGAGCCCAAAAGGTAAGCAAAAAAAAAAAGATTGAGAAAAAAAACGGCAAAAAGAAGAACAATGAGGGTTAAAATGTACAAAACCGACTTGGGTGGTGGAAATTATTTCCCCCCAGCGGTCCAATCCATGGTGGCTTAAGGTGAGATTAAAGGCTAATCACAATTAGCCGCGGGCCAACGACTGCTGTGTGCCACCGCCACCCTTCGGGAAAACAAATAGGATTTGTGCTAACCGAGGTGGGGTTTATTAGCATTAGCGGGTGATTAGCGCCGCAGGCGTCAGATTTCTCGGCAGCAACGGTGAGGATTGGAGGGCGCCGGCGCTTTACAGGTATACGTGTACGCTGCATGGACCAGGAAGCAAAAAGCAAAAAATAATGCTTGCCTCTCTTTTATATGTTTCAAGCCTCGTTGTGTTTTTTTAGGGGCCACCACCTTTGGGTTTGTAATGAGGGAAAATTTTGACAAGGACGTGGAGTTTGTGGGTCGGCCTGCCGCCGCTGCCTCGTCTAGCAATAAAGTGGAGAAAGGTGGTGCAATCGCCACCGTTACTTTTAGCGCTTACCTGTCCCGTATGCTGGATTTTGATTTTGGTCAATGATTAAGTACTTTAAGATATTTAACCATATTTATGTACTAAATTGTTTCTGAAGAAATTTCAAATGACACTAATCATCAAGTAGATTTAAAAGTAAATTCTACAGCCAAAACAAATATGCCAAAAATTAAATATGAAGAATTAGACAAATGGTTTTCCAAGTTAATTTTATCTCATCACATATATGTGATAACTTAAGCAGAATTCGATTTCACAAACTAAGAACTCTTAAAAACAATAACTTAAATTAATATAATAACTTAGAGAAAATTAAAACTCTTTTGCTGTAAGAAAAATATATAAGTCTAAGAAAAAGAAGCTAATAGTTAGTATATCAACACCTTAGGAAGTTCCAAAGAAAAGGTATAATATAAAATGGTCTAAAGATTTAATTTGATTCAAATTTACATTTTTATTTTATAATCACTCTTTAGCATCTTTATAATACCTCAAGATATGAGGGAACACTCTTTAGTATTCCTTCTTTGATCCCCATTAAGTCCCTTTCTATTCACAACAATGTTTGTCAAATCTATTGATATAGGGCTCAAAAACCTATCTAATAAATCCCATTAATTTTTCAAACGGTAGCTAAAGCAAAGTTCTAATAAGCCATGCAAAGTATCCAATAATGCCACCCACATTTAGATTAAGAGCATTGACTATTCAATATTTTAGAGGAGTTAAAGCTAACTATTAAACATTTCACAAAATCATTTAACTTGTTCATTAATGTTCACTCTAACCTTGGATTCCTTAATGTTTACATCATTAGCCACTATATAGAAATAACATTTTCTAGTTATATTAATTCTTTGGAATGCTCCCCCTATTATCCTATAGGGATTTACTAAACCCCTTAAAGTTTGGGAGAAGATTGTTTTGGGCTTTCAACCCACTTTATGATATGTTTATCTCTAAATATATCAAACCTTGGACTTGGTCTTATATATGGTCTCAGACTTGGTTTTAAATCCAATCTTGGATTTGGTCATAGACTTGATTCTAGATTTAATTTTGGACTCAATCCCAAACTTAATTTTGAACTCGATCTTAGAGTTGCTTTAGACTTAGTCTCAAATTTGATCTTAAACTTTATTTCAACACTTCCATGTATTACGACACTTGCCACATATTAGTTATTCTTTTGTCCCTTTTTAAAAACTCACTTATCAATTGTTTTGTGCACTTATTTCGAAGTTCCACTCCCACTCTCAACTTTTCAGGTTAGAGCTTTTAGTCTAAATATATTATGATTATTGACCTTTTGCCTTAGCCATTGCCATATTGCTCACCTTTGACTCTACTTTAGGATTTAGGGATTTGTGTTTTATAAGTGTTTCATGACTAATCTAGCTTGATATCCAAGTAGTTTTTCCCCTTCCTAAGCCTCTAGTACTATATCATGATTGTTACCCTCTTCTTTATAGCCATGCCATACATGAGTCATATATCAAAAAATATTTTAGAGCTAAAAACATGTAAGCATAATATTAAAACTAAAATTCTCACTCTATCTAATTTTGCATTTTCAAATAGAGATAGAGAGAAACTAGTGCCATAAGGTTGAGGTGTTTACCACATAAGAATGAAACATAAAACTTATGAAATTTTAAACAAAAGCATTTCTCACCCAAGTCCCCAAGTCTTTAATTCAGCCCCCAAATTATATCCATATGATAAATGCAAAATTATGAGATAATTTTTTGGGTAGATTTTATGACATTTTAGATTTAAGTATCATTTAAGGGTTCACCACTATTTTCAATCGTAAATCTAGTCCTTTGGAGGAAAAGGAACTCATCCCATTACTCTATTTTATCTATATTCCTGAGTTTAGAAAAGAGCTTAATAAAACTATATAAGTAAATGATTTGTTTAGTTCAACTATCTATTAAGTTACATTTCATTATAGGGTCAAAATATCTCAAAAGTGGCTAAGAAAAGTAAAGAAGTTAGAAATATATATATATTTAAACATTTTTTTCCTTATATTTCTTAGATTTTATCACAAGATTTATCATTCAATCAATTACAAAGCTCAACTAACACAATATACATATATAAAGTACATTGCATGCCACTTTTTTGTATGGTAAAAAAAATAATTATAAAACCGTTAAAATTATTTGTGGGAGTACCAAATTGTTTGACTTGGACCAATGTTGTAAATTAGTATTAAATTTTTTTTAACAAGTCCAAAATCATAAAAAAATTTGAAGTGATTGTTGTTGCAA